TCCCTTGCTCCCAAAGGGATGAGACCAGTGGAGTATCTTAGATGGCTGCTCACAGGCTTTTAAGACCCCAGACACTACTCACCACGGTAGAATGTAGAACATTGTTTTTATAAACTGTGTTATGCCAGTTGAGCTAGATGGAGAACCAATAATTTGATCTTACAGAATTTTATAGTCTAGATGGCACTAAAGCATTTTTTAGATGAAATTATTACCTTGGTCTTTGCCTTTTATAAGAAGGTTGAATCTAAGTTTCAAGGGTGTTTTGAGTTATTTCTTTAATTTCTCTCTTGGCATAGGTTGATAATTTACGTGATGATTTTACATTAAGATATATTTTGTGCATCATTTTACTTTAAAATCAAATGGTTTTATGATTTTTTAAGTTACACTTAAAACTGTGTATTGATTAGCATAACTTATCATTTCCACACAGTATCTGTTATATACTAAACGCTCGTTGGTTTCTATGAGGAATGGCCTTTTGGGAGAAGTAAAGATTAGGTATATTTTAAAAAAATCATGTCACTAATATTTTGGTTGATGGTATATGTAAAATAATTATTTAAAATATAGATTTGATCTCTGTCTTTTGAAAAAATTGAATTCTAATACTAGGTAAAGACATGCTACTTGATTTTTTCCACATTGGAATATCTCTTGAAAAGAAGATTCTGAGTATCTTCATATGTGACATGTCTTCCTTCATAGTAGATAATCTTAACTGAACCTTATCCTACAAATAATGCAATGCTTCTTCCCTAGAAAGGTGGTATTTCCTTGAAATATGTATTTTTACTTCTTGGTTTATTTGAGATTACCTGAAAAGTAACCAGGTATAAATTATTACATTAAACAGAGAGGTCATACTTATTGTAGAACTAATCAGGTTTTGGAGCCCTGGTGGCACAGTGGTTAAGAGCTCGGGCTGCTAACCAAAAGGTCGGCAGTTCATATCCACCAGCCATTCCTTGGAAACCCATGGGGCAGTTCTTCTCTGTGCTATAGGGTCTCTGTGAGTCAGTATTGACTTGGCAGCAAGGTTTTTTTTTTTCTTGTTTTAATCAAGTTTTATTTCGATGTTATTTATGCATTTGCCACTTGAAGAGGAAAGGCAGATTCATTTTCATCATTTATTTATGCAAAAGAATTAGAGTCTTAGTTTCAATTAAAACAAAAATAACAGTGATTTTAAAAAAAGGGAGGAAAAACCTTAAGACGTTTGTGCCTATATTAGAAGCCTTAACTGCTCCTAGAATTTGAATATTTGGTTCCATAGTCTATTTTGTCTAACGAACATTTCTGTAGCACTTGCTACATACCAGGCATTGTTCTAAGAACTTTACAAATATTAACTAATTTAATTCTCACAGTAGCCCTGAGGGATAGATACTCTTGTTATCCCCATTTTACAGATCAGGAAAAAGAGGCACAGAGAGGTCAAATAACTTTCCTAAGGCCACACAGATCTAAGCATTCGTTGACTTTAATGTGACTACTGAAATTGTTTAAAATTTAATTTTTACACCTTTGAGACCATTCAGTTTATCAAGTCCTTATGCCACTTTTGTTCACGTGATTTCCGCATCTTCTTTCAGTTTCCTTAACATAGTTACTCTAAAACTATGGGGAGGCGGGGACCAAAGATCATTTACATTTATTGAATATTCAAATATGCTTGATAAAAATCTTTGATAACTTAAGTGATGATTCTCCCTCCTAAAATTCTTTGAGTATAGGCATGTGAGCAGCAGTGACAGAGTGGGCAAGCCTTACCGTGGTGTGAAGCCTGTTTTCAGCATTGGGGATGAAGAAGAATACGACACAGGTATAGTAATACACTTACCTACAGACTGTTTTCCTTATTCACCATGAGTGATAATAGATACCCTTCTGAAACTAACCTAAAAACTGCTTTAAAAAAGAATACAGTGAGATTATGTAGAGGAGAACTTCCTATTATGAGTTTGGTTTTAGACATACTAAATTTGTGATGCCTTGGTGACGCAGTGGTTAAGATCTCTGCTGCTAACCAAAAAGGTCAGCAGTTTGAATCCACCATCCGCTCCTTGGAAACCTTATGGGATAGTGGGACAGTTCTACTCTGTCCTGTAGGGTCACTGTGAGTTGGAATCAACTCAACAGCAATGGGTTTTTTGGGTTTTATTAGAAATCTAAAGGTCCCCAGGTGGCACAGTCTGTACTCTACTGCTAACCAAAAGGTTGGTGCTTGAACCTACCTAGTGGTGCCACAGAAGAAAGATCTGGCAATCTGCTTTTGTAAGGTTATACCCAAGAAAACCCTATGGAGCTCAGTTCTACTCTGTAACACGTGGGGTCTCCATGAGTTGGAATCGACTTGACATCAGTGGGTTTGGTTTTTTGATTTACTAGAAATCAAAGCAGAAATATTGAATAGGCAGTGGTTATAGAGATCTTCACTTGAGGATAGAGGTGGTAATTTGGGAGTTATCAGTGCAGAAATAGATTGGATGTAAATCTCCTTGATCACCCATGTAGGGGAAGAAGAGTTGTGGGCCTGAAGTCCAGAGACTTGCAAAATTGAGACAGTGAAAAAAGCCTTTTGAAGCTGGAGGCAGTATCCGAAAGGGCCACAAGATGGAGATACTATGCCAGGCCAGCTTATCGTCCTCTGTGTGGTTCTCTTTAGTTATATTTTTAAAAATAATGTCTTACCTTGGTTCATAATCCTACTGCCCAGGTTACCCCAAATGATTAATTAATCATAATAATATTGATTAATATATATATTGAGTTAGAAAAAAATTAAGTGGTACATAAATGTATGAAATGAGAAAAAAAATCTCCCAGATCTCACCTTGCTTTTTCCACTTAGTAAAAATGTTGCATGTTTTCCATTTCAGCCCATTCTCTTTCTGTAATATGACGATACCATAATTTATTTAGCAAGTCTCCTTCCAACCGACGCTGGTGGCTTTCCAGTTTTTTCCGGTTTCAGATGGCAGTGGATATTTGTATACATGTATCTTGAGAAGCTTTTCCAAGTATATCCATACAATAAATTCTTAGCAGTGCAATTGCTAGATTAGAGGATATCGTATTTGGTGTTTTAACAGATAGTATAAAATCACCTTCCAGAAAACTTGTGTTGATGTCAATGTGCTATTTCTAATTGTTTCTTTTTCTCTCTGTTGCCATCTTCCTGTTATCTATCAGTTTCTGTCTCTTCATGAATATCTCAGCTCCTTGTATTGTATTATCCATTTCCCTTATCCTTTTAATTATACATTTTGGCCTGTTAACAAAGGGAACAAGAGATTGGATGGATAAACTGTGATATATTTACACCATGGAAAATTGCACAGTAGTGACAATGAGGAAACTGTATATAGCTACGTGTAGCACAGTGGATAAATCTCACACACATAATGTTGAGCATTGCAGAAGAATACAAATGAGTAATCTACTATTTATACAAAATTTTTTAATGCAAAAGAAAACTATATTATTAGGTATATTTATATATGGTTAAAGTATACGGAACTGGTAACATCAAATTCAGATAGTCACTGCTCCTTGGTGGGCCAGGGAGGGGATTGTGATTGGGAGAGTTATATGAGGGCTTCATTTTTATTTCTTAAGCTGGAGGTTAGCTATCTGGGATTTCCTTTTTATCTCTCTATATTTTGAAGTATTTATTAAAAAGCAAAGGAAAGAACATTTATAATCATTAATTCTAGGAACTGTAATTGTTCTTTCTTTTGTTTCTGAATTAGAATGTTTTATATTTCTCTCAGGGAAAAAATAAAACAACTAAATTGAGTTTTACTTGTATATCCCAGAATGGATTTTATTGTTTTTTTCCATTTAAGTCAGAAACCAGCAATAGAAAAAGAACTCTACCATCTTTGCCCACAAAATAGGTGCTTATTATTGGACACTTTATCCATTTCTCTATAGACTAATCCCAGATCATATTTATGTTATCTATGTCAAAAAAGTTGAAATTCTCCAAATAGTTTAATCTTTAAAAAACTTATTCTCAATATGTTCACCTTTCTTCTTATACGTAGTGATGCTTCATTGTAGTAGTTCTGTCTTAGTATTGGTGGCATAAAGAATATGGTAGCAGAATTTGAATCGATTTTTTTTTTCAACCATTACGTTTAAAATACTACTGGTGTGTTTTTCAGGATGTTAAGAAATGTATCATTTTAAAAGTTGGTTATATGAGAAACTGTTCACTTTTAAAACTCTGAATTCTTTATAGATGAAATTGACAGTTCTTCAATGTCAGATGATGATAGAAAGGAGGTTGTAAACATTCAGACTTGGATAAACAAGCCAGACATCAAGCATCATTTTCCTTGTAAAGAAGTGAAAGAAAATGGACACATGTTTCCTAGGTACTTTTAAAAATGTTTTCTTCAGAAGTAAAACTAAATTTGGGTTAGTTAATTATATAAAACTGAACTAACTTCAGAAGAACTTTTATCTAAGTACAATAAGTAGTAATTTCCTTCTGTCAACTTGTATCATATGCCTTATTTTTTAAAAAATATTTCTTACGTATTTTTTATTTTGAAATTTTTTTAACCCACAAAAAAGTTGAAGAAATGTTCATTGAACACCTTTACGAGCCTGTCTTATTTTCACCAGCTATTAGCATCTTTTCATTCTCACCCCATTTCTCTATTTATACATGTATATACATATACACACGTACACATACCCTTCCATATGTCAAACTATTCAAAAGAAGGTTACAGTATGACACTTCACCCCTAAACTGTTCAGCATAAATCTCCCAAGAATAAGAGCATTCTCCTACACAACCCACTATCATTACTACATATTTAAAAATAACTTTTTTAGTTATCATTGAATATACAGACCATACTCAGATATTCCAGGGTGTCCTCAAAGCATCTTTTATGGCCTACGTTTTTTCTTCCTGACTCAGGATCCAGTCAAGGGTAAAACATTGCATTTGCCTGTTGTATCTCTTTAGTCTTACCCAGTCTACAACAGTACTTTCCTCCCGTTTTTCTTCATGATGAATGAACCCTTTGCATCCAGGCCAATTGTCCTGTAGAACGTCCCACATTCTGAGAACTATCACTATATTAAAAGTAAGCCAAGACACAGGAGGATATTAATAATCCTATGCTTATTTTGCCTTCAGGATCCAGTTATAGACTATTTTAAAACATGTAAGGCAGCCCAACTATTTTCTAGTGATCTTTGATATTAGGTATATGCTGTGGTGTGTTGCATCCTAGTATATGCATGATTGTAGCATCCTAGTATTTATATGATTTTATACAACTTACATCATTTTCATTTAGTGTGGTTTCTAGTAGCATTTTTATAACAACCTATCAGACGTATATTGTTTGACCGGAAGTATTATTAAGTAAATACTGCATATTTATTTAAAATGAGAAATTTAACTTTTTTTATAATATGGGAGGGAGAAAGACATAGAGAAGGCATTTATTATTTTTGTTTATAAATATAGATAATACTGTTAAAAGTCTGAAAGGTAGCTTTAACCAAAAATCTATTTATTATTTTAATGATTTTTATAATATAATGAACTTTTTTTCGCAAAATGTGACACATTTGCTTCCAAACAATTGCAGCATTATCTTCGTTAAAACACTAATTTTGCATACAATTAAAAGCTTTTATTATGTAGCTTTTGTTTTTTAATTGAAAAGTAATTTCAACTAGAGTAGAACGTTGTTTATAATTGAGGCTGTTGAAAGCAGCAGCTCTGTTGAATTTCATGTCTTTAAAATTCTCTTGGTTTTTTTAATGCTTTTTTTTTTTTCCTCTTAAGTCACCTCTTAGTTACTGCAACACATATGTACTGTTTAAGGGAGATTCTTTCACGGAAAGGACTGGCTTATATACAGTCTCGACAAGCGTTAAATTCTGTAGTTAAAATTACGTCCAAAAAAAGACATCCTGAGCTAATTACCTTCAAGTATGGAAACAGCAGTGCTTCAGGAATAGAAATCTTGGCAATTGAAAGGTAAGATATTTTTAGGATGGTATTATCTGAATAGCAATTCATTATTAAACATAGTTTCTTTCTCTATTTGGGGGAATGGTTGGTGGAATAGGATACTTGAACCATTTTTATTAATATTCTTTGCTGTCTTTTTCTCTCAAATCCTTAGTCATATGTCATTTAGCCATTAGTATATGTTCTTAGTGGGGACCATAGCTAATTCCATAAAACTTTTTGACAAAAGGGTCCTTAGGAATAATCCATCCAAATGCTGTACTTAGTACTAGTTTGCAGAGATGCTTGTCTCAGAATGTAAGTCAGTGTTTTTTGTTGTTTTTTTAATCCCTCATGAAAAAATTATTGGTTTGAAAACTATCAGTGAATGAAACAGTGTGCTGAGTGATGTACAAGAGCCTCCTTATCTCATTGTGGACCAGTAACAAACAGTTCACAGACTGGCACAGTGGCCATGGACTGCACTGATCTCAGTGCTATACCTTGTTTTATCTTATAGATTAAAAATGTGAAGCCCACAGAGGTTAAGTGACTTTCCAGATGTTCACACCTAGCTGGTGATAGAACCCGGACTATAGATAGGCCTCCTGACTCCTGATCCATGGTCCATTTCACCTTGCGTTACTTCAGGGTATTCTCCTTGTGAGACTTGGGATTACAATTCTTATTAACCTTAGAACTTTTATTTATTTACAGGAGTGCTTGAATAAATAATAAGCTTAAGATAATCTCTGAGCACTTTTAAGATTTAAAATAATTGAAATGGAAAATTAATTCAACTTTCCTTTGGCAGCAGAAGTCATGAATCTACACTGTTACATGTACCCCATTCCTCATTAAAAGAAAGTACTTTTTAAAAATATAAAAGCTGCTTTATTAATAATAAAAATAATATATTCACATTGTGAAAGCATTTAAATAATAAAGGAAAATATAAAGAAGTCACGGAAATCCCACCCTGTTAACACTTCAGTGAATGTCTTTGCAGATATCTTTCTATGCATATGTATACATATATTAAGAACTAGATAAATGTGGTACATGCTTTTTTTGTATGCTTATTTTTTTAAAAAGATTACTATAGTGTGACTATATTACTATTTTAACAAATATAAATTCATAACTTTTTTGTAGTAGGTATTGTTCTGTCATATGGATAGTCTCTGACTTAACCAATCTGCTGTTGATAAGCATTTAGATTATTTCCAATTTTTCACTGTCGTTAACTTTTTTTTAATGGATCTGCTTTTAGCACATATTTACACACTTGCCCAATTTATCTTTCCAGGATAAATTTGTAGAAGTAGATGCAGTAGGCCAGAGGGTACACACATTTTAACATCTGCTTATAAATTATTCCTAATCGAAGGATGTTGGAATTATGACTCTTCCATGAATGGTAGTAAATGAGAATTATGTTTTAAAGCTTTTTCCATAAATTTTAGCTAAAGAAAATGTTACACACATACCCATTCTTCACTTACCAACACGGTTAGGTTCCAAAATACCAATAATAAGCATTTTGAACTAAAACGAGAGATTGATCTTTACTGACCTGAGCAGGAATTTTCTCTGCTCCCTCTCAGTTTTACTTTTAAAAAGATCATTTAATCTGAATATTTATTCACAGGAGTTTTATAAAGAATTTGTATTACTTTCAAAAGTACTATATTAATGTGTATGTGTATGTGTGTATATATATACATATATTTTTCCCCACATAGGTATTTGATTCCAAATGCAGGGGATGCTACCAAAGCCATAAAACAACAGATCATGAAAGTTTTGGATGCTTTGGAAAGTTAATATAAAAGAAGATTTTTTAAAAAGAAATGAAGGCAGCCAAGAGAAACATGGACATCTTTTCCTGACTGAATACTAACCGGAGGCCTTTCATGTGCTCGTGGGGGTGCTTGAATAACAGGTCTAAGAAAGTGTAAATTACTATAATCAATCTTGGACAGTTAAACATTTTTTTGCAATTTTCTTTTGCATTTTTGGTTTTGTAAAATAATTTACTATAAAGGTCAGTTACTAAGTGAGTTTGAAGTAACTGACCCATGCCTTCATGGATCAAGGGTGCAGAAAGCAGTTCTGTTTTGAAGAGCTGTTTTAATGGAACATGCATCACTTTCAGGTTTAAAAACAACCATACACATATATACTTGCAATGTCTTCACTGAAAATTAGAGATTGATGAAGAGACCCCTTTATTTAGTTTTTCCCGCTGAGCAATATCAGAAACTAAAAAGTATTATGTAGGTTAATAATTATCTCACTGTTTCGGTTCTTAAAAAAAGAGTGAAATCTTTTTAATGAAATAGGTGGAGAGTCCAGCTAACTCAGAAATGCATCAGCTAGTGAAATGTTGAAACATCAGATTCTAAATCACTTTTGCACCATTAACTAATAATTTGAACACAGTGCTTCAGAAATAATAAACCTGACCTAATGGTTTCTAAGGAGCAGTTAAAAGTTTTATAATAGGTAGGCATGTTAAGACTAAAATTAACATTTTGGGGTCAGAATTGTATCTGTAAAAATGTCATTGGTCTTTATTACAAGTGAAATATTTGATTTAGGATATTTCAGAACAAGTGTTGAGCACACATTTATCCTCACTGAGATCGTGGGCTGTGGCCACACTGACTTTCGCTTCCATACAGCCACATAATCAGAGCGCTTTATCAACACTTTAATTGTTCTTATCACTGACTGCAATTTATCTTCTTTTGGTTTTGTCTTCTCTTGTTAAAGTTTCAGTGGTTTGAAAATATTTTTCTTTTAATATGACAAAACTGAAAAGTGATCTGCTTTATTTTGCAGCTTTCTCAATTTGTTGAGGTGCATATTAGATACAGTTGGTGACAAATCCGGGAATGCATTTGGAGCCATGAAATGACTTTTTGTAAAATCTATTTGGGAAATAGCAAATCCACACTATCTGTCATGCCCTAAATGTAGTGGGTTATCTTTGAGGATTGATAGGAGAAATATTTAGACGCACCCTGTTAACAGCCAGTTATTTTAATTTACTTAATGGAAATCAAGTGAATAAAAAGCAACATAATTCAAGAAATTTTATTCTAATATCTAAATAAAAACAGTTTAATTGAGTGGTTGAAGACATTTGCATGAAATTGCACCTGGTGCAATTCTTGATATTTATAACTCTCCCCTACAACTGTTGTATCGCATCTTTCCTTTTCTTGGTGCCCCCTTTAGAAATGTCCTGAGGTCTGATTTTTCACCCACTTCAGCCATGGAACTTTTTTCATAATATTAATGTAAAGATGTTTGTGTTACTGTTTGTAAATTAAAATTGTAAATAAACAAGTACAGTTTGCTCAAACCTTTGTTCTTAATGAAAATGTTTCTCTGTCCCTTTACCCCCTCCCCATTTGTGGATGCCAGAAACATCAGAAAATTGAGGGTTATAATTTTAATAGAATTTAAATGTTCATGTTTCAGGTTTGTAAGTATTAGATTCCTAATTCTGTTCATCTAGAAGGAGGAAGGAGGTAGTTTAAAACTAGTGACATTAAATTCCAAATGTAAATTAATTACTACCTTGAACTATTAAACTCTCTGAACTTTAGTTTCCTCCTCTCAAATGAAACGTGAATATTAAGTGAAAATGCATTTCATTGAATGTATTAGGCACTCATACACTGGCCCACTGACCACAGAGCTACCTTCACTCTGAAATGTCCACCTTACGTGGACTCTTAAGGATTACAGAGGTGGCAGCATTATGAGGTTGGCATTATTTTCTGTGTTTTCAAAATGAGAAAACAGGCTCAAAGAAGTTGGCTGTAATCTTTATGGAGCAGATTGCCAAGCCTTGCTTTCATGGTACCTCTGGATGGGTTTGAACCACCAACCTTTCAATTTGTAGCCAAGCACAAACCATTTCTGAAACCCCGGGACCTTAAATGTTATCCCCCAAATGTTCTTACGGTATTATATTTTAAACCAGGATCCATTTCGATATAAACTATTCCAGAGCATTAGAGAAGATAGCAAGCTTTTAAATTCATTCTATTATTTCTGATACCAAAACCAAAAGCAATCTAATATAAATGCAAAAATCCTAAAATAGACTATTAGCAATCAGATTTCAGCGCATTAGAGGACTGATTTGTTGTCGAGGGTACTGTTGGAATCCACAGTATCCATTTTCCTCTCCCCCATTATGGAGTCAGATCCCACTGGAACCTCACATGCCTAAGCCACCAAGGATAATTGCATCCCCTTTGTCACAGTGGCTTGTTCAGAGAGCTTAGCTAACCAGCATATGGTATTACCCAGGCCACAGGGGTTCTTTTGCAGAGAATCAGCAGATGTTACAAAACAAGGAATTTTTCAACAGTGGTATCACTAGCGGGGTTCAGGGGCCTCTGCCTGCACCAGGTGACACTGTCAAAGGGGGTGACACCGAAATGACGGTCTAAAAATATCCCTGTAGTTAGTTACAACAAGAACATTTTTTGTAAGCCCAGCTTACGTGTATCAATGTACCTACAAGGCTAAAACTCTATGCTAACTTACTTTTTGAACCTTCTAATATGCTTTTGTCAGAGCTGTAATTATTACCCAATTACAGTTATGCTCCAAATCACGTAGTATTGTCTGCACGCGCTAACAAGCATGCACTGTTTTCGTTTGTTGCCAATGTTTTTATAATTGATTTTGTCAAATTTCCCGTGTTTTAGCTATAATATTCTGATAATTAGTATTTGTGAAGCTGTATCAGTAACTTTTGAGAATGAGATAGTAATTTAAAGGAAAAAAATGATATACAGGAATTGGTGGGCAAATTTGAATAACAGTCACATTAACTGATCTTCCTTGTAGGCATATGAATATTAGCCTATCAGTGACAGCATTGTACTTCAGGATAGATCTTGAAATGTTCTTTTTGACGATGAAGGTGATGCCATTCCTCTTCAATTTGTCATTGCCGGCATAGTAGACCATATGATTGTCCAATTCACAATGGTCAATACTAATCCATTTCAGCTTGCTAATGCCTAGGATATTGATCTTTATGTGTTCCATTTCATTTTTCATGACTTCCAGTTATCCTAGATTGATACTTCGTACATTCCGTGTTCTGATTATTAATGGATGTTTGCAGCTGTTTCTTCTTATTTTGAGTTGTGCCATATCAGCAAATGGAAGTCCCAAAAGCTTGACTCCATCCACGTCATTAAGGTCGACTCTACTATGAGAAGGCAGCTCTTCCCCAGTCATAATTTGAGTGCTTTCCAACCTGAGGAGCTCATCTTCCAGCACTATTATCAGACAGTGTTCCACTGCTATTCATAAGGTTTTCACTGGCCAATTTTTTCAGAAGTAGACCACCAGGACCTACTCTGTCTTAACTCTGGAAGCTCCGCTGACAGCTATCCACCATGGTGACCCTGCTGGCATTTGAAATACCAGTGGCATAGCTTCCAGCACCACAGCAACATGCAAGCCACCACAGTACGAGAAACAGAAGAGTGGTGGGCCAAAGGTAAATTGAAGATTTTTACGAACTACAATCTGAAATTGATCAAGCATGCAATCAAGATGCATTGATAATTACTGGCGATTGGAATGTGGAAGTTGGAAACAAGAAGCATCAGTATTTGGAAGATATGGCCTTAGTGATAGAAATGACACCGGAGAGCACATGACAGAATTTTGCAAGACCATGACTTCTTATTGCAAATACCTTTTTTCAACAACATAAATGGCGACTATACATGCGGACCTCACCAGCTGGAATATACAGGAATCAAATCGACTACATATATGGAAAGAGACAATGGAAAGGCTCAATGGCATCAGTCAGAACAAGGCCAGACTTGTTCCGCATGGAACAGACCATCAATTGCTCATACGCAAGTTCAAGTTGAAGCTGAAGAAAATTAAAACAAGTCCATGAGAGACAAAATACGACCTTGAGGATATCCCACCTGAATTTAGAGACCATTTCAAGAGTAGATTTGGGGGACTTCCAGCCAACATGGCACTATAGACAGAACCACCACACTTTCCTCCACAGCAAACATGAAAAAACTAAGTCAAACAGAGACAAACGTCCATCCTGAAACCCTAAGCATCAAATGAAGAGATAAAGAACTCAGCCAAGCACTGAGTGGAATAAGAAACTGATGGAGAACAGAGAGCAAGGAGAGATATGTGCACAGGTCCCTAATCAGCTAATACAGCACAGATTCACCATCTTGGACTCCGGTCAGAGATCGGTGAACAGGGAGTACAGGAAAGCAGCTTCACAGAGCTCCCAGCAGGAGACAAAACAACTGGTAACCAGCAATATACACCTTCCCACCCCCCACACTTCTTCACCCCCACGCGGCTTCCTCTGCTTCCTGCAGCCACAGTCTCTTGGCTGGGAGGCACCAGCTTCAGCTCATCGCTGCTTGGATTCCACCCACCCACACTGGCCAGCTCCTTGAGTGCCATTTGTTTGTTGCTAGTGTTGCTTTTTTCCACTTCATTTTGTTTCTTACATACTTCTCACCACCACCCCCTCCTTTCTCTCAGATACCTGGCTCCATGTGCCATCTTTGCTTCTTCCTGAAAGGCTGTGAAACGCTGCTCGACTGTGGAACTGCTTCCTGGCCTGCCCCGCAACACTGATGCGATCCCCGGGGCTTTTGTTTGTTTTGAATTGATCTGTTTTGATTTGTTTGTTTTTCTTTTCTCGGGTTGGGAGCCCCTTCTAGCGGGGCTGTACTGTGCGGCTTAGGATCTACTTCCTCAGTCTGCACAGCTGTGAAGAGGGATCCCTGGGGACATTTCTTTTTTCTTTGTTTTTATTTTATTAAAAAAATATTTTTTTTATACTTTAGAAGAAGGTTTACAGAACAAATAGTTTCTCATTAAACAGTCAGTACACATATTGTTTCATGACATTCATTAACAACCCCATGACACGCCAACACTCTCGACCTTGGAGGACCTTTTTTTTTGGTGAAAATATACATAGCCAAAGTTAAACCATTTCAAAAGTTTCTACATGTACAATTCAGTGACATCGATTACACTCTTCCAGTTGTGCTGCTATTCTCACTGACCTTTTCCAAATTATTTCATCACCATTGTCTTGAACTCACTGCCCCCTAGGCTTCCCATCAAATCTTTTGAGTTGCTTTTGTCAATTTGATCTCACATAGATAATTCTTTTTTTTTTTTGTACCTTAGATGGTTTGCAGAACAAATAGTTTCTCATTAAACAGTACACATATTGCCCTATGACAGTGGTTAACAAGCCCATGAAATGTCAACACTGTCCCTTCTCAACCTTGGGTTCCCTATCATCAGCTTTCTTGTCCCCTCCTGCCTTCTAGTCCTTGTCCCTGGACTACTGTGCCTCATTAGCCCCATTTTGTTTCATGAGGCTGTCCAATCCCTGGCTGAATGGTGAATGTCGGGAGTGACTTCACCACAGAGCTAAAAGGGTGTCTGGGGGCCATGTTTTAAATTTTTGTTTTGTTTTGTTTTCTCTATCCCTTTTTGTCTTCGTTTCTGAGTTTCTTGTCTCTATTTACTTTCTCTTCTTGTCTCCTGAATACCTGTCGCTGTGTGACACTTCTACCCCTTCTAGCCAGGCTGTAATTTGCCGCCCGGAAGCCACTTCCCCAGTCTTCACAGCCAGACTGGTGGGATCCCTGGGGGATTTTCTTTTTTTTTTTCTTCAAATACTTATTTTTTCTTTTACCTTTTTTTCCTTATTGTTTTTCTCCATTTCTCGGTCTCTCATCCCTCCACTCCAACAGCAAGCTCCTTTAGCACTCTTTGTTTTTGGCTCCTGTTTCTCTCTCTGCTTCTCATACTCATCTTAGCTCCACATCACAATCTCCCCCCTCCTTCCTGCCTACCTGCACTGTGTGCTAAACATCACACCGCCAAGCAGCACAGGCATGGCCTGTGGGAACCTGCCCTGCACTGATTCCTGGCCGGCCCTGTTGGCCCTAGTACGTGCCGCAACCCATCTCAGCATCTCCCCTTCAGCTGGACCTGCCCTGCTGCACTATAGCCAAGTGACTGACCCTGCCAATTGGACAAGGAAGTGAAAAGTATTGCGCCCACAGATGAGTAAACAGCAAAGAATGCACAGCCCGCCTGCTCACACATAACCGAATTAAAAAAAGCAGGACGAAAACAACAAATTTACAATAATGAGGAAAATAACTACTGAATGTCCTGAAGGCAGCAGACAATATCAAAACATACAAAACAAGACAGAATGGTTCCAGTAGGTGTTCAAAATAAAACACCAGATGACTTACCAGTACAATAAAAGGCAATAGAACTACCTGATAGGGAATTC